AAGGACCTGCGTGCCGCTTGCCAGCCCCGCTGGGAGGTTTGTACCCCGGGCGAGGGTAGCAGCTGCCTCCAGCAGTAGCCAAAGGTGCCGCTTTGCAGCGGCGCGTTGATCGGGCCCCTTCGGCCGGATGCTGCGCTGAGCGGGGCGGCGTAGCGAGCTCTTGGGAGGTAGCGCTCGTAAACTCGTTCAAACCCTTCTGCTTGTGTGACCTGCAAATTCGGAGGCATTACACCACTGAAAGATATTTCCAACTCGCTTTTTCTCTCTGCAATGCTGCAAAGAAGCCGTGTCGTACAACAGAGTTGTCATTACGGTGTTTATTACAAGCTGGAGGGCAACTGGCTTGGGTATGCTGACAGAGTGGAAAAATACCTGCAGGTCGCCTGCTCGGAGTTATGCCCGCATGGGAGACTCCTTCAGCGCTGCCAGCCTGGCTGCCAGCCGTGCTTCCTCCAGCCCGAGGCTGGGGGAGCAGCAAAAGCTGTGTCACACTTGACTCCCCGGTGTGTGGCTCCTGGGGGAATGTCGTCAGCCGCTGTGACCTAGAGCAACTTGCTAGGAACTCTTCAGATTTATGGTCTTGGAAAACAAGCGACAGAAATAGGAAGATGGAGAAGGTTTATGATAGTAGAAAATGCGAGGGCTTACTTTGTCAGACTGAGGTTTTTAAAATAATTCATGTGTTTATTATCTTCATTGCCGTATTACTGCCTTTTAACGTTGCAAGCAGAGAAATCCAGACAGAGCCTGAGCCATGATGATGGTATCAGCAAGCTTTTTAAGGAGTAGATAAACTGCATAAGTAGTAGGCAGAGCCATGCTGATCTAAATCAATAAATAACCTTTGGAGAACTGCACTTTTTTGAAACACATTAATAAACATCCTTGAAGGTTTAGGAACTAAAAGCAAAGAATTAAGAGGTCAGAAAAACAGTTGAGCTGTTTTGGAGCTTTTGAACTATGTCAAACTGCTAATGATTCTTTAAAATAACTCATAATATTTAGCAGATGCATGTTAGCATCCATATCGGTCGCCTGCTTCACTTGATCTGAGTGCTTCTACAGCACTGATTAGCTGATAACGATATATTAAAGCTGTTTCCATACTTCTGTGGAGTCTTGATGTCTGCTGTTTCCCAAAATATTAGATTTTCAGGTTTGTCCTACTCTAAAAAGCAGACTTCAGACACTTAAAAGGAAATATAAGCCATGATTTGCCTAACACAGAAAAATAACATCTCTCTATGTTTCAGAAGGTTTCAAACCATTTTCTATCATCCAGGATTTCTAAGCATTGTTTCCTGTAGTTTTGTAAGAGAGGGAATGCGTTAAGACCTAAGAACAATAGAAGTGAATCTGTATTCAGTTATTTGAACAGTAAGTACTGTACATAGCCTTTTTTTCCATGATTGCATTATTGCTAAAGGACACAGTCCAGCAAAGTGACTAGCTGAGATTCTGTAAGCTTCTACTCCTGCAATATCTGGGGTATAGATAAGCAAAGTCCTTTTGCTCCCCGTCCATCTTGTGTTGACTATATTATACTCTGCAGGTCTATGCATCTTCAGTTAGTACAGGTAGGATATATAGTTGTAGCTGACTGGAACCTAAGTATGTACTTAGTGTCTCCATCAGTCTTAGTAGCCATAGGCAAAATCTAATTCTGTACTGTCTCTTTCCATGTTTGTTAACAAATTCATGAGGTCTTTTTTTTCCGGTCACTTTCCAGACATTTAAAAGAGAATTATCTGGTAACATGTCCTCTTTGGTCTCTGCTTTTAAAATCCCAAAACATAGGGAGCAAAGAAGTCCCATACCCTCTATGAGGATCTTGCTGAGGCACAGAATAGCAAGTACAACCTGAGAAAGGAGAGGACGGAGAGTAGCTCAACTTCATGCTGCCTTGGGGGCATGCATGACCTCTTAGAGACCGTGCTGATGCCTCAAATAGATGGCAAGAACTCCTTGTTCTGCCACTGCCCCTTCATCAGCTGGTTTCAGAGCACAGCTCTTGACTGGCTGCGCAGCCCGAGTAATTGCTGATGTTTGCCGTGATCGCCAGTCTGTCGTGTTCGGATGTGCCTGCTCTTACTGGCTTTTTGCTCTGCAGTTAGTGCCACTGGAACGGAAAGATCTGGGTTCTTATTGTAGGCAGTTATTCAGACTAAGTTATTATGAGTATTTGCTGAAGATGTATTGTGTGGAAAGTCTAGTGATAACCATTTCTGCCATGAATATGCTCTGAAAAGTTCTTTGCTTTTTGAAAAGCTAAGAGGACATTTCCTTTAATTTATATATGTTGTTTTGGTCTCTGCATAGTCCATCCTTGTTATATCAGTTCCAACACTGTTACATTTATATGTAAATATAAATGTAAATAATATGTGACTTCAGATTTTTGTATGTGATGTAGGTGGCAATTCAGAATGTTCGCTGTTGCAGAGTTCCCTACTGTGCAAGTAGAAGCCCAGTTTGCCTTTTCATCTTTGAAAGATTCTTCTTTGGTTTTTTTAATGACCATCATATGATGACAGACATGTTTTCCTTCCTGATATTGAGAAATATTAATTGTAGGAAAAATCTCTTTTTACTTAGATGTGATAATTATAAAAGCCCTTTCAAAATCAAACATGAGTGTGTTTGCATTGGTTGTGCTGACTTTTTAATAAAATTGGCTGCTGGTGGATCTGTGCTTTTCCTGCCCAATTTATGTCCAGGTTCTACATAGAAATTGAGACAAGACTTTACACAAGGTTGTGGTAGTACTTTGTTACCCTAGTTATTCTGCCCATGTCCATACTCATATCCACAATAAAAGGGGAAAAAATTAATTCTCCTTTTAAGTGTTTCTTCCTGGTTGAACTATTAGTAAAGGGTGGCAACAACAAGCAAGATTTTTTGGTTTGTTTTTTTTCTTACTGTAATCGACAGATAATACTGGCAATTCTAGAACTTGTTCTTCTGGCTTAATTAAAAGAGAAACTATCCAAAAGTTTGTTAGAAGTAGTTCTCATTGTATAAAATAGAATTGTTTACAAATTATGTATGTACCTTGTCTGTTCTTCTAGGCATGTTTTCCACAAAGCCTGTGTGGATCCATGGCTTAGCGAGCACTGTACGTGTCCAATGTGTAAACTGAACATTTTGAAGGCACTGGGAATTGTGGTAAGTTGCACTGTTGTGAGCTTTTCTTCCTCCCATGTCTGAGACCCAGAACGGGAGGAATAGTTGTAGGGGAGAAAAGGAGAAGGGTGTTCCAGTACCCTTACTCAGAAAGTACTTTGGGGTTTTTTTACCAATTTCTTTGCTGCTGATAAAGCTGATTTGTTGTGGCTGTTGTCCCTTTCCTTGGTTGGTCATTGAGAATACGTTGTTATATTTCCATTTATAACAATTTCTTATCTACTGGAAGTCTACTTGCTTCTCTATAATCTTCCTTTTCTCAACTTCTTTTAACCCTTCTTTGTTAAATTTACTCTGTAAATCTCTTGTTCTTTTTGTGGTCTCCCATAGACATTCTTAAATTTGCTTACACACAAAGCTGTGCCCTAGCCAAAGCCAGCGAGCTGTCCTCAAGCAGCCCATGGCTTATGGGATCCCTGAGGACTGCTTTTGTTGACCACTTCACAAAGAGATAGAAGTAAAGAACCTCAAGAGAGGATTTTACCATGTTTCCCATATGAGGAAAAAATTGTAAGGTGAGAGCAATGCTCTCTTCAGAAGAAAGAAACAAGGAAGAAAGAGAAGAGCGAATGAAGATACTGTCTAAAGCACCTTTTGAATCAAGCCAGTGCGATTAATCAGGCCTCCAGTTTTAGTTGTGTCACTTACAAATTTGCACATTTTCTAAGAAATACTTGTAGATATACTGTGGATGACCTATTTTTGCAATTAATAACATACCTGGATTTTTAGAGGAGGATATTGTAGAATTTGGTGCATGTCATCATTGCTTATGGTAGTAAACCATACAGGCGTGGGCTGTGATACAGGCATATTTGAGTCCCTTTGTTGAATCTTAATCCCATTTCCTGCTTCTTTCTCCACCTCTTTAAGGTGGACTGACGGTGCAACTTGGGATAGAACTTGGTAACTGGTGTATTCCTCTCCCGTGAGGACAGCCATAGCAGCTGAACAGTGTGTGCATGTGCTTTTACGCAATTGATAGGTTTGCTTACATGTAGAATATTCACCAGCGTAATGCGGAATTGCTTGTTTTTCTAGCCAAACGTGCCATGTACAGATAACGTAGCCTTTGACATGGAGAGGCTCGCCAGAGGCCAGCCAGCGAGCCGGCGCTCGGCGCTCGGCGACTTTGCCAATGACAGCGCGCTCAGCCTGGAGCCCCTGCGCACCTCTGGGATGTCACAGCTTCCACAGGACGGGGAGCTAACGCCAAGGTCGGGAGAGATCAACATTGCTGTGACAAGTAAGTTTTCTTTGGCTTCCAGTACTGCTCTACGGTTTTCCTGGTATGTGGCACTTGCTTTGCTGTAGCTCCGTGCTGCGGGGCCACGGTGAAAGATTTCCCTGCAGGGACGAAGGTGACCTCAGCGTCTCTGTAAGGGGCGCACGCTCCGTATTGAAACCGATAACTCTAGGCACGGCAGCGCCAGCACTTTCATTATTAATGGTATATCCATTTAGGTCTGCATGCGAAGAACACTGGGTGAACGAAAATGGCAGCAAAATCACCCTCCCGAATTTGGTAATCAGTATGAGAAGCTGGATTGCCAAAACCATTATTTACCCTTTCAGAATACTTTACATGCAATAATTTATGCAAATATAAAATATTTTAACTGATTACTATTTCTGCAGACATTTTTTCCCCTGAGAACAGTACTACTGGAATGCTGACATCTCTTAGCAGATGTTTTTTCTTAAAAAATTTGCAAATAGAAAAAAAAAAAGTATTTGATGTACCAACATTTGAGTATTGTCCAAGTGTTTTAGGACATCAGAAAACTGTTCCTGCACTGCTCACAAGCTCTTATCTGTAAGAACAGCATGGGAAATTTCCACTCACTGGATTTTACCTAGGGTTTTTAATGTATAATAGCACTATAAAAAATACAGTATGTGTGGAATTGCATCATTTTTCCATATGCTGTACAGTCTCAATTTGATGCATGAATAGTTGTTTTTCTGGCTGAATTGCAAAAATAGAATGCATGCTGTACAACAGTCTGATTTTCTCCTTGTGTTTTGCTTATGTGGCTCTATGATCTAGATTTTGAACTTTGTGACACTGTTTGCCACTGAAACGTGTATCTGTAACTGATACAGTCCATTAGAGTGGGTTTTTTTAGATGCTGTAGCAAAGTAAATGTCTCATTAAAAAAAGTCTCATCTTATGAAATACATAGTCCATATCCAGAAATGTCCTGATCTGAGAAGGAAAGAATCCACTGCAAAATCTAGAATCGTTACAAAGCCAGTAAGTCACCTCGTCATGCAGTGTTCAACATCTGATTAATCTTGTATCCAGCTCTATTGAACAGAGTGCAAATCTTTTGGTGTGCTGCTTTTCTTGTCATGGGTGGGACAACTCTGTAGTTTTAACTGAAACTTTTCACTACTTGTTTTTACAGAAAGTGCTTTTACTGTCTGTTCCCAACTGTAGTACTGCTCTTGCACAGATGGGATGCCAGGGTAAAACAAAAAATAATCAGCAACAGTTCATTCTGACAATGTTTATAAAATAAAGCTTTAGAAAAGGCTGTTCAAGTGTTTAGATTTTATGGATGACACATGCATTCTTCGATGCATAAGCGTTAAACCAAAAGCCATATTCAACAAAAGTGTTTGTATTCTGATCTATTACTATGTGCCAAATTGATCTTGAGGGGGGAGAACTTTGAATAGTGAATGTTCTTTAATAGTACTTTTTATTTTTAATGTGTCTGTATGTATACACTAATGCTGAGATTATTTTTCCATGTTGTATTCCTGTCTATTGGAAATGGAAAACTCCAGTTATGTTTTACTGTTGAGCAAGCAATCCTATTTTTTTGCTGTTTTTTTTAGAAGTAACACTATAGCATTTACTCAGGAGGGAGGGGGCAAAGGCACAAATTAAGTGTGAAAGTATACAGAGTATGCTTATGTGAAGAGCTGCATCTCAGCAAATCTAAACCAACCCTGACAACCTTTTCTGACCTGAGGGCAGACAGAGTTTTCATTACATTTTCCCGTCTTCCTGCATTTCCCTGTACACTGTTAAGTAACCTTTCTTTATCACTAACCCTTGGGCTCAGCTGGGAAATATTGTTGTGCCATGCTTTTTTTTCTACACCTCTCTCCAATTCTTCTTTGCTAGCCTTCTCCAGTCAGTAACTCTGTGGCTAACCTCCTTCTGCTTCACCTCCTGGTGCCAGTCATGGCTTAGAAGCCTCTTGCCTCCCGCCAGTGGTGTTGAGGGAAGTATTGGCATCGCTTTGACATAAGCCTTCTCCCACGAGTGATTTCCTCCCTTTCCTTTGTCAACAGAAGAATGGTTTATTATTGCCAGTTTTGGCCTCCTCAGTGCCCTTACACTCTGCTACATGATCATCAAAGCCACAGCTAGCTTGAATGCTAATGAGTAAGTAAATATTCAGATGTTTCTATATATTTCTGGTGGGTTTGTGTCGTGGACAACATGGGGAACAAATACCAAGAGAATAGAGAAGGGTAATAATGTAATTCTCAGTGTCGAATGCATTTTCTGCTTTTCTCAAAAGTAAGTTTCTCCTGTTAACAAGTAGGTTCCAGGGTAACATCTAAAGTCTCTCTTAATTTATATTTAGCTGGGTTGTCTGAGGAAACCTCCTTGCCAAGTGGAGACATGGAACGGGGAAGAGAGAGAATATTTATATTCAGTTTTTGATCAGTGGTCTAGGTAAACATTAGATTTCTGCCATTAAATCCCCATGTTCAAAATTTGCTGGCAGAGACAGAAATTACTACCATCAGTTACCTTTTACAGTTTTCACCTCAATTTCTTTTCATATTAAAAAAAAAAAAGGCTGTATTCCTTCTTGGCAGACTTCCAGCTAAGAGAAAAAGGTATTTAAATAGAAAACTACCTTTTTGCTCTTAGAGATGGAGAGATGAAAGCAATTAATACACTATTGTTTCTTCTCTCAAGTGAAGAGAGCAGACCAGTCTTCTGACCTCTCATTTTTAGTATGCTTAAGAATTGCAGTCAAAGGAGTGCTTAAAGATATCCATGCTTGCTTAATTTTTATAGACACCCCCAGTGCCTCCCTTCAGACAGGCTGGACAAGAATTCACTCTAGCACATGACTTCCAATCTTTTTTTATAGTGCTATGTGTGGGCAAGTGTAAATCTGTTCTGCAGATACATTAACTGGGTGCATGTAGCTGTTTTCATTTTAGGTGTATGGAACATCTGGGAGTCATGATACATATTTAACCATTATTTATTTATTTGGGGAGGGAAGGTGTCAACATCTATCATTGTCTCTGAGCATTTTGACACAGCTGAGTTTCCATTAAATGTTTTGATCTCTTACCAAAAAAAAATCTCACCCCAAAAGTGGGGTGAGATTCAAAGGCAGTCTCCTGTGCAGCCTGGAAATGTAGCTTTATAAATACAACTTCCTTTTTTGTTTTGTTTTGAGGTAAGAGAAAGAAACACTTTTTTGACTTTTATTGCTCTCTGGAAAGTAGAAGATGTCCTTCTCAGTAAGATGGAAACACGTCTAATAGTCTCCAGTGTAAAATTTTAGACAGGTTCAAGCTAATTTTCTTCAGGAGAGGCCATAATAAATTCTTACAGGTTTTGGTCATCAGGATTTTTTGATTACTACTAATACGCAAATCCTCCTTTCCTTCTCTTTTCAGATGCTAATTCCAAAAGGGCTTAATGAAGAAAAGTTTTAGAACTTCAAATAGCCCTATCAAGTCTCCCAATTATTACTTTTTTTTTTCCAGTTGTCAAAATTGCAACTATCAATCAGCAGTTTAGCAACATAGCTGTAGCTGAACATAGTTAATCTGCACTGAAAAGTAGCTTGGGCAAGCATGGAGCAAGATGAGTTGTGAAACGGGAATGTCTGCATTTCTGGGCATTTCCACATCGTTAGGAAGAAGACTAAGGAACTGCAGCCCGTGTAGTATCATCCAGATGTGGGCAGCGATAGCAGTTGCATTTCTGCCTTGCCTTGCAACTTTTCTTTTTGTTGTCTTCTGCTCAGTTGAATCTGGGTCTATTTTTACTGAAAGGGCAAGCTTCTTCCCCTTGGCAGGCAGTTTGGGCTTCCAGAGAAGCGTCTTCATCAGTGATGTTCCCTTAGTACAAGGGAGAGCCCCTTTCCCCAGCCATAGGAATGAAAATGCGAGGGTATATAAGCATATACTTCGAGTCAGACTTAAGAAAACTAGCAACCGCAGAAACCAGAGCTGTCACAAATCACTTGCTTGGGTAGCGGAGGTACCTAGCTGTAGCCTTTAGCCTCAGCGGCTTTTCAACTGCATCCTTCGAGATCTGCGCAGCCTCCACAAGTGCTGCTAGGTTTGACTACTCATTTTAGGCAGTTTAAAATGTGTCTGTATGACCCTAGTTCTTAGATTTATTGTTTCATTGACACCTTATGTTCCCCAGTGCAGACAAAGCATTCCCTGTGCTGAATATCACGCCAAACATATGGCAGCTCCCTCTCACTGCAGTTTCCATTAAATGTCATAACAGCGTACCTGCTTTTTATGCTCTTCTCCATATAAAAAGCAGTGCTGGCATACCCTGCATTTGTTATGGTAGTGTTTCAAGAGGAAGCTCAGGGGTTTTTATCAGAGAAAAGCAGTAGCAAGAATGAGGCCACGTAATATGCTGATGCAAATAAAAGGTGCCAAATATTCTACATTAAAACTCACCTAAAAATATGTCCTGATCTTTTTTTCTATGTCCTTCCTGCAGCTTAAACATATTTAGAGCAGTAGTTCTGAAGTTGTGTTTGTGTGTGTGTGTGTGTGTATCTAACTGTATATATATATTTTTGTGTATGTATATACACACACACACGCATTTTTAAATAGTTACTTTTTTTCCAAAAAGTAAATTTTGTCTAAGTGATAAGAAAATAAGGAACCCGCTGCTTTCTCTTGGTCTTGTAATGTTCATGCACTTTTACTATTAAATTATTTAGGTAGTGATTTAAAGGAACAGAAGCAGCACATTTTGCTGCTTTTTTTTTTTTGTAGGGAATGATCAGAAATTACTGTATGATTGTGTCTTAAAGTCCACATGTTGGATAGCACCACTTAGAGAAAGTTTTCAGTAGCAGGTGGAGTTTCCTCAAAAGTTTAGAAGTGCTCAAACCTCTGGCTAGCCTGTCTGGTTTACTGGTGCTGTAAAAATGATATAAGGAGTACAGACCTCTGCCCATGTATAATAGTCATTTCTCACTAGCTTTCTTCTACAAGATTTTGTTATTTTTTTTAAGTATTAGCAGTATTAATTTTAACATAATATTTTGTTCCTTTTTTTTTTTCCCCGCCCCACAGAGCAGAATGGTATTGAAGAAACGCTTTCCGGCCGATTGCCTTGGAGAGAGACACCTATTTTTATGCATCATTTATCGATCATGCAGCACAAGCAATTATTTAGTACATTCTATTTTTTCATAAAATTTGCTGATGCCAAAGCTTTGTATTAAGGAAAAAGTGAAGAAATAAAAAAAAAAAACTTTAATTACGAAATCTTGCTCTTTGAGAATTTTGTATCCTTGGACTTTCTGTGTTAGTACTTAAGTCTGACAGCCTTTGGTATATTTTACAAGGTGCTTTATTTCCTTTGAATGATTTCGTCTTTGCAGATCTGTATTCTTCTCCTTTCATTCTGGGATGCACCAGCTAACGAATGGAAATCTCACACAGTGCCGTTCTTGTGATGCCACCCAGCCCTGAAATGACTAACAAGAGTATTATTAGTAATCGCTCCATACCAACTCGTTAAGGAAAAAAGCTGGGCCAAGCATTCTAGTATATAACGGTCATACCTTGACTCCAGCTGAGAATTAATTTGAAATAAGAACATTTTCTCCGTTTCTCCTCCTGTAAGACTCCTGTGCGGCGTTAGGAGGTTCGCGGTATGCATTGCTGAAGGCTTGCAACACCGTTTTCTTGACATCTAACTCATAAACCTTTTCTGTCTTTGCTTTCACCCCACCCTTCTTTCTGATAAAAGTGAAGCTACTCTAAACCACTTCTTCCTTCCTAACACCAAGTGAAAAGGAAGCGGTTTTCTCCCCGCCATCATCTGTGAAGCCTCCTTTCATACTAGTGACAAGGGTTAGTTTCTGTTCAAATTCAGATCATGAAAGATTGATAATGGTCTGCGCTGTAATGTAGAAACTCTGTGCAAACGTGTCGCTTCTTGCCGTGGCTTATTTTACTGGTGAGGAGGCAGAGGGAAAACATCTCTCATCGCTGTCCTCGCTCGGGCTGTTTCACACAAGTTTACTTATGCAAGCAGTGTGTGAGTAATTTCACAACAGTCGGTTAAAACATGCGGATCTGATGTGCAGCCAAATGCTAATGCTTGAGTTAATGAGATGGGTAGATGAAGGTAACAAATCAGTAAGGAACATATAATTGATAGAAGTTAAAACCTATTTGGCGTTTGGTTGTTTTTGTTGTTCCTGTATCAAGATGAAACATTTGAAACTTAATGCTTTCTAATTTAATTAAATGAACAGGAAAGAAAACAACTTTACTGTAAGATTTAATATTTTTATGTACTGGGAAACGGAGGATTTAATTTAATTTTATTTTTATGTATAGGCACTTTTAGAATTTAGGAACACAGCCAGAGTCTACATTAAAATAGTTTCTTAATTCTTATCTGTCCAGCAGGCTTCAGCTGAGAAGGCAGCTTTTATAATAAGAGATGAAGTATGTGATAGCTTCAGTACATTTAACAGAATTATTTTTCAGTGTGTCCTTGTGAAATTTTGAAAGAAACATGAAAACAATCAATAAGCAGTAAGTGCATTTTGAAAGACTGGAAAACCCCATTGGACTTACTCATGAAGAGGGGAAAAAAAAAAACCCTGAAACATACTGTGTCTGAGGACTGTCTCCTTGTAGAATATACTCAGCGTTGTTGCCAAAAATAGAGGAATGTGGTTAGAGCATGATTTAGGGTACGGGCTATGAAATGAGAGAGTGACTCTTTTTACCCACCTCTCGACAGCAACAGTAAAATTGGTAAGTCTGTGCTTGTCTCCTGAAACGAGAATCCTTAAGTGCTTTCTTAATGCTGTCGGGAGGGTACGCAGGGACAGCCGGAACGGTGTGGTGACCCAGATGTACCAGGCACCACAAACGGCTCCGGTTCACGTTTCTTCTACAGAGCAACAGTAGTTCAGTGATACGGGGAACAAAATGGTTGACAGGGCTTCCAGTGCATTTCCCTCCGTAAAGGATTTAAATAACCCGGGGCCATCTTTTTTAATCCTTGGTTTGAGCCTCTAACAACAGTCGTAGCAAAGTGTTAAAAATACAGACGATATCTGCTAGGTTAATTACGGGTCAGGCTAGCGATGTGAGTTTATCTTGTTAATGAAACAGATATATTCAGAGGCGGACTGTGCACCCTTCCAAGAAACTCAATTTTTTTGACTCTGGGTAAACACAAGAAGAAAATTCCCAAAGTTTTTGTGCTTGCCATGCTTTTAGATGCTTTTTACGTACACAAAAGACAACTAATGTTACTCTCGTGTGCATAATCCCAGTAACGAGAGGTGAAGGAGAGCTGGTCCCTTTTCCCAGATGCTGCAAAGATGGCAGGACTGGGCGGATAGATGGGTATAATAGGGTGTAGGTCAAGAGGGAGTAGCAGTGCCTTGCTAAACAGCTGGCTTGGGGAAAGGATGCTTTATGAAAGGATCCTGCTCTGTTCCTTAACCGAGAGGGTGGCCAAACCAGACCGTCTGAGCCGGGGACTGCGCCAAGAAGTCTTTGTGCCGGAGGAGCTGTGGAGGAACTGCAGCTTGCGGCAGAAGATGGCCCTGATTAATGACTGAGCGCATTAAAATGCTTTCAGATGGAAAGGGAATGCCAGGTGGTACTTACTCCTGATGCACCTGCAATGCCCCAGCAATGACATCGCTCTTTAATTTTTGGCCTTCGTGTTGTGCCCCCTTCTGTAGCATCCTGTGGTAGATATAGAGATAATTCCGGGGTAGTATGTTTATTTTCAGACTCAATACAAGGTATCTGTAAAGTTCTTTGTAAATATATAATGAAGAATAGTGGCAGAGAGCACTGAAGGTTTCATTTTCATGTATTAAAACTGAATGTAGACTTCCCATTTGTTTCCAGACCTAAGGGATAAATCTTGATCTTTCTTGCTAAGTGAAAACTAGGAAGAACAGATTCATAAGCTGAATTTGGAACTGTGGATATTTCTACTTGTCCTTAAAATAGGTTTATTCAGTAAATTTATCAACTGGACTGATGCCGCATTTTTAAACAAACACCAGCAGCTTTCTGCATTAGGGTGAGCGTGGCTGGGTCACTGTGCCCCGCTGACGCTTTCGCTAGCCGTACGTTGCGGGCAGTGACACAGACCTGGTTATGAGAGCACCTGAAGATGGAGTGTTGAAAAGCACTGAGCAGCAGCTGGGTCTTCAGCACTCGGCGTGCTGTGCTGAATGGTAGGAGAGAGAGACGTTGAGAGAATGAATGGTGCATCCCAAAAGTGGTATGAGAGCCAAGAGGTTTGTATCTGTATGAAAACATGCAGCCTCCCTGGAAGCGGGTGGCTTAAATCCCTTTTGCCAAGAAGCAAGAAAACATCACAGTAAAGAATTTTCGAGGTGTTGTACATACACTGCCTTTTTCCAGATTACTTTAAAATATTTGTTGTCAGATGACCTGTCTGCCTGGTGATTAAATCTCTGGCTTGAACCTGCTAGCGTGGAAGTCTGGGCACACACAGAGGAAATGACGGCCTGGGCCGTCTGCTTCCTAATCCCTCGTTTGACTTTGCATAATAAAAACAAAAGCAGCACCAAGCTTTTAGAATCCTCTTTGTTTCGTTTCAGCATTGCCTGTTCAGTATGTAACGTTTCAGCGGATGGTAGAAAGGGAGATGAAATATCCAGTGTCCATGGCTTATTTCAACTGCAAGCTGAGATGCGGTCATCAAAAATTAAATGATCCTGACCCATAACACCTTTTGAGAAGACTCTTGAAATCAGTTTTATCTGGTATCATTTCAAAGTAGGTTCAGTGGTTTTTTTGTTTGAAGAGAGACGATGACCAGCTGGAAGTCCTAGTTCCAAGTTTATGTTTCCTCAAAAACTCAATGTTTTTTACATTATTTGTTTTATTTTTTATTTTAAGCATTGACCGGTTTTAGAAACCTGTAAATCTGGGAGAGGGTTCAGATCTAGAAAGTGGGTGTTCATCATCCCCTACTGACTGTTGCTGCAAAGTATATTCCAACACAGTCCACTTTTTCCAAAAACCTGGGCATACGCTCCTGGCAGAATGAGCAATTCACTCCTATGCAATGTAACTACTCATTTCACTCGTTTCAGTTAACTACAAGATCAGAATTAAATTAATTTGCTTGTGAGAGCTTCCCCTTCTCAGTGTGAGCAGTGGAGTGAGCGCGCGTAGCGGCTTTTGGTGATAGAAGAGAGGTTTGGAGAGGGTTTAGGAACCCGGCAGCGGATGCGTTGCCCGGCTTCAGTTTGCTGCTGTTCTTAACAACGGTTTGCCCCGGGCACACAACTGCCGTGGGGCTGGGGCCGGAATTCGCTGGAAATCAGGACGGCAGCTCACTGACAGAGCTTGCAAAATGAGGTTTTTTGCCAGCGATGAGCCAGTGCTGTTGAGACCTCTGCTTTGATAAGTGCAAAATTCACCTTTGCTGCTGCTCTTTCAACAATTCTATGCGTTTCGTTGTAACTCTACCTTTTTATTTTTACTCCTACTTTACTGTGACTTTTTTTTTCCCCCCTTTTCTGAATCTCTGTCTTTTTGCATGAATGGGGAACGAGAAAAGGTGTTTTGGACAGTAGCAGTTGAATTCTTCTTCCCTCATATCTTTTGTAAGCTCTTTATTTCAGAAGGGCATAGGGTGGACTCAAAATTTGGCAAAGAAAGGAGGATTTAACCACCTAAATTCTGCCAGTGCTAAAGCTGCAATCCCCTGAGCGTGTTGCTCCACTGATGCCTGAAACTGGAGGCACCTTGGTTTTCTGAGTGTCGTCTTGATGAACTTGGAAGCTTTTCAGTTGCCTCCAACTTGGCTCAAGTGGCTGCCTGGTGTATTGTATTCTAAGCAGCCTTGCTCCCAGCTAATCCCCGCAGGGATCGAGAAACCAAGTAATGAAATGTTTTGGCCAAGGGCCTGATCTGATAGATGCTTTCAGAGAGAACCGTTCGTACACCAGCAGGGCTGGGCTCTTCGCAAAACACGTCTGTGGCTTTGGAGAGCCACGGGAACGCCATGCTGCCGAGCCAACAAATGAACTTCCATTCCCCACTCTGTCAACAGCCACTTGGTGCCTGTTTTGGGTATCACCAGTGTTGGAGAAGACAGTTGGGTCTCCTTTGGCTCTGTGTAAGGAAATGTGTAGATGCCTGTGTCTAGAAGGTGACCCAGGTGGCTGGAGGTTGCTGAGCTCTGGAGGAGGTCAGGCTTTCAGCAGCATCAGTCAGACTATCTTTGGTGACCTCCTCGC